CGATTGATACGATCTTATTCATGTAAATATTTTTTTATCTTATTTATTAGTTTACTCCGAAAATTAGAGGCGAATAGACATTTCTTTATAAATTGCTTCCATACACTCTTTCATACACTGGTGTTAAAATAAGTGTTATAGTTAAGTTTTCCACCATTATGCTTGGTATATTATCGAGGCACTATACTTAAAACAAAAGTAAATATAAGTAATACAAACAAAACTAGTTATATTCAGTCATAATACGGAGAATTTATTTTCAAAAAAAAGAAATACCTTTGATTATTTCCAATCGCTGCGCATTGTGGTCAATATTAAAAAAGATTTCTCTTGATTCTAACCTCCCCTCTCCCGCCCTAATCAGTCAAAAACCAGCGTTGCAATCTCTGAAAACACTGTTGTCAGCACTGCATGATTGCATTCGGACAGGCCTGGATTAATCATTAGGCAAACAAGGCATTTGCCTTGGGCACCAAGCGTTTGGGGGCACCACAAGTCCTCAAGAAATATTTTTTTTTAACAAATTTCAACTGAAAATTGAACAAAACAACTGAAAATTGAACAAATGCAATGAAAGTGAAGAAATACATTATAATAAAAATTCACATTCAAGTTTGGTACATTCTTGAATGCTTAAAAAATAAGCTATGAATTTTTCTATTTAGCTTTCTTTTAAACTAATTATTTTTTTCGCAATATAACGACTTAATTTTTTTGCGCTTTAACGACTTCACTTAATGATATTTTTTTATTAACAAAGTGAAACTATTATTAAAACTGTTTTATCATTTGTTTTATCATTTTTATTGATTCTGATATTAAGGAATTATTTATATGAGCTTACAGCTTAAGTTTATTGTTTTTTAGCCTTATTTTGCATAATTTTATAATTTTTATGTAAATTACATTTTCATTTTATATCATTTAATCATTTTTATTTACATCTTTTCGCATACTTTTTTTCAGGACTGTGGATTGACTTTTCCGCTTATGATGTGGCTTACTGAGTTGACTGTGGGCCTACTAACTGTCAGCATCATTTTGGTCCCTTTGATAAATTTTGCCGTATTTATGCTGGAGGAAAAATAACAAGATATTGTTCCCAAAAACCTTTCTATGGCACAAAAGCAAATGGCGAGCAGTACAGGAGAGAGTGGTTATTGTATTCACCATCCACGGGATATGTGTACTGCTTTGTTTGTAAACTTTTTGCATCTACAGGATCCACAAGTTTGGCTGATAAAAATGGGTTCAGTGACTGGAAAAATAACATTTATGTTTAGTGGCGTTCCTAGTTATGGTGTCACCCGGGGCGGCAAATAGGGTGTCACCCATATATTATAAGTAATTATTTTATATACGAAATTATTAAAGCAGTATTTAGAAACGTTGACACATGTAATTTTAAACTTTGTTTTTGACAATAATAATTTAGTGTCTATAACTCTCTATAAATAATTCTCGTCTATAACAGAGAAAATAATTATTTGAAAATAAATTGTCTACTAAATTGATAACTATATCTTTCAGCATTCAGCATTTCGTAAGTCGTGTAAATAAATACCCACTTATTTTTTTATGTAAGACTGTTTAATTATAAACCAAAATAAAATATAAGATATTAATAAATTGGGTGTCACCCAAAAGTGGATGACACCCGGGGCGGTAAGCCCCCCGCCCCCTCCGTAGGTACGCCACTGTTTATGTTGATAATCACGAACAAAGCTCTACTCAAAAAAAACTGCATGTTAGTATACCTAACTCGTCGACAAGGCTCCGGTTTACTACAAAAGCTAGACGAGCAAATAAATGAAAAGTATAGTTACTGGAGACATGTTTTGAGGCAAGCAATAGCAGTTATTTGCAATATAGCCAAGCATCTGGTCTGGCTTTCAAAGGAACAAATGAAAAACTTGGATCTTTACAAAATGGAAATTATTTAGAGCTGCTAGAGTTGGTCAGTCAGTTTGATCCATTTTTAGCATCCCACAGTGCGAAATATGGAAATTCTGGAAAGGGAAATCCTTCTTATTTATCCAAAACTATATGTGAAGAACTAATTTTTTTTGTTTTTTTTGTTTTATTTGCCGTTTCATATATTTACAATAAAGACATATTACATTTATAAAAATTGGCCGAAGCATGAAGATCACCGAGCCCCGTTTACAAAACGTCCGTGTTTATAAACATATATATATATATATATATATATATATATATATATATATATATATATATATATATATATATATATATATATATATATATATATATATATATATATATATATATATATATATATATATATATATATATATACTAGCTGGATTGACCCGTAAAAATACGGGTCTTTGTAATTCTATTCCACACAAACCTTTTCCCTTATTTTCTTAATCTAGCTGTCCGTATCGGTAAATACAGGTCTTTTCTTCTACTTCTATATTTATTTATTCCACGCCAATCATTTCTTTACTTGTTCCTTATTTACTTCAATATTTTTTAGTAAACGGTGGAAAAAAATTCATCAAAAAAATTTGCTTTGAGAGCAAAAAAAAACTTTAACATACGCACTTTTTCCGCATACCTATATAGCTTATTAAACCCCGTTTATTTATTTTTTTTAAAAAAAATTCTGAACTAAACTACTTTCTACATTTAGACCAGCCATGGACCATGGTTTATGGTCGCGTCCTAGCCATATTCAATAGTTTACTATATTTATTATTATTATATGCTTAGTTTTGAATAATAACGGTCTTTTATAGTTATCTTTGTATTAGACGGAAACGGTAATGCAATTCTTTAAAACGTTAGTCGCTTAAAGCGTCAAAAGTCATGCAAAAAAATAAATTATAAATTTTGTGGTTTAAAAGTTGAAGAATTAATAATATTATAACAAAAAGTTTGGTAATTTTTAAACGTTATTATTTAGCTCTTACTTATGGTATTTATTTTGTTTTCATTTTACATTTTTAAAAAAATGTTGAAGCGCCTAACTACATGCATAACTTTGATAGCTCACAAGTTAAGTGCGCTGTCATCAGATTCGCTGTGCAAGGCTTCAAATCCGCGCCTAAAAAATCTCAATACATTTTTTTTAATCTGGCTATATTTATAGCAAAAAATTAAATATAACAAAAAACCTTTTAATTGCTTTTTTTTTTCCCTGCCTCGACTGCAATACCATGTGGAGTAGCAGGACGGTTTTATCAATTTTTTTTTTTATTAGGTTTTAGGACCTTTTTTTTTAAGACTATCCGTAGCTTATTAGGACCAATTATGTGAGAACAGTATCAAAATCGTGACACACACGCAACAAATTTTCGCCCCGTTTATTGGTGTTTTTAGAAATCCAAAAAATATATAAAATATAAAAAGAAAAAACGGTTAAAGTGTATAACATTTAACTTATTTAACTTCACAAATAATTTGTAATTTAAAGAAAAAAATCGCTGGTGGTAAATTTGAACCACGACTATTACGTTCAGAAGCTTAGCGCGCTAACCACTCGGCCATGCTGACACATCAAATATCGAAATTTTAAAAATATATAAAAATTGTTTTTAACGGAATTGCTGTAGATCAAAAATTAAGGAGAGGTTGACGCAATGCAATTTTTAAGTCAAAGTCAAACTATAAAACTTGAAAAATGTTTCAGTATGTTTTATCATTACTTAATTACGTACGTTAGATATTTGCATACACGTTTTCTTATAAAAAAAGTGTTGCGACTCTTTCTACTAACACTATTAAGTTCGGCATTATTATATAGAAGATAGATAGATTATAAAATAGTTTTTCACCTAAAAGGACAAACTCTATTCCACATTAACCTTATCTCTATTTCTCCCTCTAATATTTTTTAGTGATCAATAGATTATGTGCTAGAAAAAAAAAAAAAAATTCACATATGCACCTTTTCCGTATATTTATATTTAGAGCTTAACATGAAGAAGGTAAACCATTTAGTTCAAGACAACCTGCCCAAACCCAAATCCTCTGTTGATTTATGCACACTCACTGTGGCTAGGCGTGTAAAATAAGTAGCTAGGCAAGTCAAATAAATTAATTTGATCTGTTTTTCTGCATAAAACAAAAACAGAAAATGTGAAGTACTTGATAAAAGGAACTGTAATATTGGATTTAGTTAATTCAATACAAAGTGATAGGAAACTGCAAAATAAGGTAACAACGTGAAAATTATTCAAATACTAATTTACAACAATTTGTATTGCGTTTTATTAAAATAGCTTTATTAAATTGTATGAAGATTGATGATTCTTCTTCTTCGCCTTTAGAAAATGGTTAACGATTTGAAAGACTTTTAAATTGATTATAAAAGCATTATCTAAAAACGAAATAAAATCATTATTGATAACACTGAATGCACATTTATTTGTTTTATGTTAATTCATTTGAAAAATAAAAAATACGAAACGAAATTTAGTAATATTAAAGAAATATTAAACACTTACTTTGTGAGAGTGCTTTTGGAAAAGTCTCTAATATTTGGTTAGAAGGCTGGAAATAATCTTTTTTTTTAAAAATTCAATTTTATTAGCATTGCTAAAGATAAAAATTTTTATTGACACAAAAAAATTCGGCATTTTTTCTTAAAATATTTCTTGGCTTTTAGTGAATGATTAGGAGTAAGTTTCAGTAATGAAGCTACCCAATAATCATTTTTAACCATAGACATCAACGTGAAGGTAAGCCAAGCTGTCTATCAACACAAAACATCACAACAACATTATAGGATGACAAACAATAACACCAGTAGTGTTGGCAGGATTTTTGTTGTTTCAGATATATATTTAGAGGCTGTTGAAGAGTTTAACTTTGTTATGTCTAAAAAAATTCAGGTTAGGAAAAACACTTTTTTTAAACATTTGTTCCTAAGCTTTAACAACATCAATTTTTTGCAAAGTATTTTAATTCTATAAACGTGAATACACTTAAGTTTGGTTGAAAGTGCTATATAAAGCATCAAAAGACCCTGCCTATGCTACTGAATACACATAGCATAAATTATTTTTACATAACACATTTGCACATAACACAAAATATTCAGATTATGTGTTTCCAGAATAATTAAAAAAGCTAGACAACACAACCTAGCTCAACACTTGTAACACCGCTTTGCACTAAACGCTGCTAAGTAACACCACAATTTAGTAACACCGCTTGGCATTAAGTGCCAAGTAACACCACTAATTAGTAACACCGCTTGGCTAGCAAGAATCACAATCTTGCACTACACGTTGCCAAGTAACATCACTTTTCACATGGAAACAACATAATATAAACTTATATAAACTTAAGCACATAAATATAAATAAAGATATATAAACGCATATCTGATTAATTTTTTGCTATACTAATCTAAAATGAACAAAAACAATAAAGTGCTATTTATCAGTTTAAACCTATGAAACTATGTGTATAGCGTCTAATAAAATTTGTGAACAAAAATTATAACTAAACTGGTTTGAAACAGAGAAAAAGCCAGAAGTATCTTGTAATAACATACTATATTGTAAGTAATAAAACAGTGTTTTTAGAAACAAATAAAAAATTTTATTATTTTAAAAGTCATATTAATGGTTTTGTTAAAAAGCAAAATTAGTTACAAATTAATTTTAATAATACTAAACTAAAATTGACATGCCAACAATTGCAAACATGTTGCATCATATAGACCACATGTGGCTGACAACTGATTTTAAATACTATTTTATAATATATCTAAAGAGAATAATGTAAAGAGATTAATAGGTGTATAGTGCATATATTAGACATTAAACAGATATCATAGAAAAAGAAAAATTTTAAATATATTTACCAAATCTTTCAAAAACTATATAACACTTAACAAAAATAAGTTAATACAAAAGAAAATTTAGTATTATTAAAATTAAAAATGAAGATAAAAAGATGTAAAAACGTAAATTAATAAAAAAACTTATAGACAAATTATTAAAAACTTTTATAACATAAGAGTTCTTTTGTAAGTTTAGGATTTAAAAACAGAATTAAAAATCAAAAAAATAAAATAGTGAAAGTATAAAATTTAAAATAATAAAAAATTGCAAAATTAAAAAAAAACATTTTTTTAAAAAGTCAATTTTCTTTATAATTAAAGATGAAGATAATTCTACCAGTAGCTTAAAAAAGCTACTGGTAGAAATTAAAAGAGTTGAACCGCTTCCCAGCACCCCTCCTTCTACCAGTGGTGTCATATGGGGCTTGTCTCCTCCATCTAAAGGAGGGATCATCTCCCCCATATTGACACCACCGGTAGAAAGCTCTTTGAGATATCGGACCTGGGTGCTGGGAGCAATATCGCAGGAAATCTTGATGCGCTGCTAAAAAACAAAAACAAAAAAAGAAATAAATTTGAATGCAATAATGCACAAAACAACCAATAAAAATATTATTTAAAACTATTTAGACTTTAAAAAAAAAAAGTTATGACAAAAAAAAATAAAAAAAAAGTAATGTAAAAATAAGGATACGCAATGTTTAAATTTCATATATACCTACACAAATACACATAACACCCATAAAACTGCATAAGCATGCAAAACAGATTACCTGATGGTCCTGCAGATATTGTTGCTATTAGAGAAATAAATAAAAAATATGAACTAACACATATATTAAACAGTTATGTAATTGCATACAAACATGAAAAAAGTAATGTTTAGGTTTCAATACACATAACACTGCATAAGTATGGAAAAACTACATAAGTATGGAAAACACATTACCTGGTGGTACTGCAGTTGATACTGTTGCTATTACGGAAATAAATAAAAAAGTATATAAACAAACACATATTAAACAGTTATGTAATTGCATACAAACACGAAAAAAGTATTATTTAAGTTCCAATACACATAACACTCATAAAACTGCATAAGTATGCAAAACATATTACCTGATGGTACTGCAGATGATATTGATGCTATTGTGAAAGTAAAAAAAAAAAGTGTATAAAGTAACATATGTTATACATTTATGTAATTGATAACAAACATGAAAAAAGTAATGTTTAAGTTTTATTACACATAAAACCCATAAAACTGCATAAGTATGCTAAACAGATTACCTGATATTATTGCTTGAGGTGTTAATGTAGAGACAAAAAAAAAAAAAAATAAAGTGATGTGCAAAATAAGATATGCAATCTTTAAGTTTTAATACACATAACACTCATAAAACTGCATAAGTATGCAAAACATAATACCTGATGGTACTGCAGATGATATTGATGCTATTGTAAAGGTAAAAAAAAATGTATAAAGTAACATATGTTGTACATTTATGTAATTGATAACAAACATGAAAAAAGTAATGTTTAAGTTTTAATACACATAACACTCATAAAACTGCATAAGTATGCAAAACATAATACCTGATGGTACTGCAGATGATATTGATGCTATTGTAAAGGTAAAAAAAAATGTATAAAGTAACATATGTTGTACATTTATGTAATTGATAACAAACATGAAAAAAGTAATGTTTAAGTTTTAATACACATAACACTCATAAAACTGCATAAGTATGCAAAACACATTACCTGATGGCACTGCAGATGATATTGATGCTATTGTAAAAGTAAAAAAAAAAGTGTATAAAGTAACATATGTTAAACATTTATGTAATTGCATAGAAAAATGAAAAAAAAAAAATTTAAGTTTTAATACACATAAAACCCATAAAACTGCATAAGTATGCTAAACAGATTACCTGATATTATTGCTTGAGGTGTTAATGTAGAGACAAAAAAAAATAATAAAGTAATCTGTAAATTAAGATATGCTATCTTTAAGTTTTAACACACATAACACTCTTAAAACTGCATAAGAATGAAAAACACATCACCAGATGGTACTGCAGATGACGCTATAGTGGATGTAAAAAATATATTTACATAAACTAACATATACTAATCAATTAAACAGTTTATTTTAAGTGATAAAACCGCACACAAATATCAAAAAAAGTGTAATAAAATTAAACAAAATGAAACATAAGTGAACTTTGCTTACCAATTGAATTTTTTAATTTTTCTAAATAGAATAAAAAAAAACTCATTAACATTAAGAAAGAAACTAACATGCAGAATATTTGTCAACTTTAGGAAATCCATAAATAAAGTTGGAACAATACAAAAGCCAAAAATAACAATCACGAAACAAAACAAACCAAAAAAAAAAAAAAGAAAAAAGTGCCAAAAAAAAAAGAAAAAATAAAAATAAAGAAGAACATTATAGTAATTTACTTAGCTGTTGAAGTATAAGCCCTATAAAAAAAATGCTAAAAATTGTATCAAAAAAGCTAAAAGACCAAAGAGTAGACCTTTTTTTTTTGAAAGTAAAATGCTATATCTTTATCTATAATACACAAATGAAATATAATCAAATTCTGTTTACCCATTGAATGTTCTACTTTTTCTAAATAAAATGAAAAACTTATAAACATAAAAATAAACTAACTTGCCATATATAGAATAACTTTATGTTAAATAAATATGTAATAAAAAAAATAAAAAGCATGACAACAACAATAACAAATTGCTTACATAGATTCTCAACTGAATCTTCTAATTTTTCTAAATAAAATAAATTTAAAAGTTACAAAAGTCACTTGCTGACTGACAAACTGTCACAACTGACAAAAGTCAGTTGCTAAATAACTTTAAAAAAACTAAAAAAGCATAACTGTATTTGCACACAAAAAAAAAAAAAAACAACAACAAAAAAATTCCTGACTTAGCTTGTCAATTACTTCCGCTAAACATTAAAAAAAAGTTATAATTAACAAATTGCTGAAATTGGTGAAATATATATCTTTGTAACATATCCTTCTCATACAAAGTTAGCTTACTTGGCAAGAGCTCTTCGGCTCTGATCTCTTGAACATCTAATATATATATATAGACAAAATTAATTTTCAAAATATTTACTTTTTCAATTAAACATATAAGATTTGTCTTAAATTATAAAACTGTTGCACAGTTTTATAATTTAACACATTCAGTAAATGACAAAAAGTTTCATTTTACGTGAAAGTTTAGTAGTTAAAAGACTTAAAAGTCTATTTTAGCTTAAACACGTTTTATAAAATTATAGCTTAAACACCTTAAAGCTTCTATGTGTTTTTAAGGTTTACTGCTTTACAAAAACATCAATCAAAATAGCGGAATAAACAAAAACTGAGTTTTGGGTCCACCCTCTTAAAGTTCTAAAAATTAATTTATATATTTTTTAACTTTAGTTAAATTTTAGGGTGGTGTGCTTGATTCACGGGGTTAGGGGAGGGCAGCATATCTTGGTTGATTTCAATTAAAAGCGGCTAAATTAAATCATCGTTTTATTCACACGTGAATCAAGTACAGCGTTTTTATGTTTTTAGAAATTTTAAAAAACGTTTTAAAAAATTCTCCCCGTTTGGTTTGTTATAGTATATTATATCTTTATTTTTATGTAATGCGTATAACATCTATATGCATTTAAACTTGTTTTTCTTTGTTTTCTAGAAAACTGGAAAAGATTTAAAAAAAAAATTGTGTAAGCAAAAGGTTTTGAACCCAAGCGAAGCACTTCAATCGCTTTGGAATGCTATATCATCTTTTTACACTATTTAATAAACAGAAAACTTATTAAACTTTAAAAAACAACATTTAATGCTTTAAAATAAAGAGATATTGTCGCAATGAAATTTTTAAGTAAAAATAAATCGGTAGAATTTGATGTCATCTACTTCATAATAATACTGATTGATAATTAAAGAACTTAAAGTTTACATATTTAGATATTTGAATAGACTTTCGTTCACATTGTTAAAAAACAAATCATAACGGATTGTGGTTCCGAAAAAAAAGGTTAATACACTACCATCTGTAATTATTGGAAAGGTCATATTTTTTAATATCAAAGATATCAAAGTTTGGCGAAAAAGTGAAAACAATGTCTACCTGAATTATATGTTATCTTCCTATTTATTAGGTTTACAAATAAAACTTCCCTGATTAGTTTATAATTTATTCAAAAACCTGATTAGCTTTTAATTTATTTGCCTATTAATCACCCTTAACAACAATAACCACCATAAATATATTCTTAGCATTCTGCTTAACGACTTATCTAATTAGTCTATTTTGTCACTAAGTTTTTTCAAAAAAAAAAAATACACATGTATTAACTGTATATCAATTTATTTATCTATTTAATTTAATATATATATAATATATAATTTAATATATATAATTTAATCTAATTAATATAATTGAAATACTACTAATCAATTTACTGATATTTTTTCTATAGCATTGTTAAAAATGGTTATATTCTGAAAGGTAAAGAAATTTATTGAAAAGAAAGTTGCACAAAAGAAAAAAAAAAACTAAATAAAAGTTACTTGTTTCAAAAAACGTTTTACGAAGAGTTTTTCCAAACAATTTTATTTTTAATTGCGTTTTTTTTTGAATTACGTCATAAGCATATTAAGGCGTTTTGAAAAACAGTTGCTGTATATATTTATAGTAAAAAAGTTAATGTAGCAAAATAAACTTTTAATTGCCAAAAGAAAGTTTTAAAGTTTTATCTAGCTACAGGCTTTTTTTTTTTTTTTTGCCTCCACAGCAGCATCTTCTGAAGTAGCAGAGCTGTCTTGTTAAGTTTTTTCTTTATTAAGTTTCAGACAACTTTTTTTTCAGACCATCCGCAGCTTATTAGGACTAATTACATGAGCACATTAATAACATAAGTGTCTCAATTATCATAGATACGCAACATATTTTTTCTCCTAGTGATGTTTTTTTTTTTTTTTAAATGTTTTATGAAGTTTTAGCTTTCTTAAAATCTTTTCTTTTGTGAGTGCATAACATCGTTACATATGTTTGTATATAATCTTTATAAAACTTCGAAAGTATTTTGTATTTTAAAATAATTAAAAAAAATAGCCGCCATTGGTAGGAGTCGAACCTCTAGCTCCTTGTTCAGAAGTTCGCCGCCTTATCCACTCGAGCTACACCGGCATATCATTATGCGTAGATTTTATAATAATGTAGTAATTTTTTTAAGGAAAAAATTGTTAGATCAAAATTAAGGAGAGGTTGACACAATGTAATTTTCAAGTAAAAATCAAACTGTAAAACATAATAAATGTTTCAGTATGTTTTAACATTTGCTTTAATCTTACTTAGTTTAAAGTTTACGTACGTTAGATATTCGTTCACGTATTCTTATAGTGCTGCGACTCTTTCTTGCCAATACCTCGGTTGCAATGGCTGCCAAGGGTTTCGTGTCAAATACGCTCCAAGGGACACTACTATTAAGTTTGGCAATATTATATAGAAGATATATATATATATATATATATATATATATATATATATATATATATATATATATATATATATATATATATATATATATATATATATATATATATATATAAATAAATATATATATATATATATATATATATATATATATATATATATATTTAAATATATATATATATATATATATATATATATATATATATAAAAATATACAAAAAAACGTTAAAGAGTACATAACTTTTGTCAAATAATAAAATGACAATTATATTAAAAATTTAAAAATAAAGAAAGTTTTGCATACTAATACAAATATATTTGATACCTATAACAAAATATATTTAGTGCTAATGGAAGCGTTTTTTCTATTTTAAAATTACCTTTTAAAAAAAGTATTTAAAGTCTATTGAATTTTTTTTATTTATTTACACTTTTGCCGATAAAAAAAAATTTACAGTCGTAACTTATAAAAAAAATAATTACATGACCGGGGCTAGAAGAAGACAAATTTAGTCTTATCATTAAGCCCCAAAAAATGCGTCATTACTAGACAAAATATAGTTTGACAATAAAATATAGTTTCAATGTATAATATCTCTGATTTATATTATAAAAGAAAATTTAAATATATCGCATATCGTTTAAAATTTATAGTTTTTCAAAGAATAAGATTTAACAATTATTTTGTAAAATAAAAGAAACAAAATTTCATAAAATATTAAAATGACAAAAATAACATTTAAGACCTGGTTTGAAAAAATAAAAAGATATGATTTTATATAAAAACATTTTATTGGTAGAGCATTTTATAGTTTAACTTATTTAATTATATTTATAATACTTTTCATTGCCAATTAAGTAAAAGCAAATGAACAGTATAAAATAAAAGTAAAAGATTAATAAATAACGCAAAAATAAAAAATAAATTTCTCAAAAAGAAGATTATCATTTAAAATAATAAAAACATATGTACAATTGTTGATTAATTATGTATTAATAATCTAAAGTAATTAATTAATTAACTATTAATTATTGATTTCTAATATAAAGAAGTTTTATTAGAAAAAATTTAATTCAATTTCAGTTAACAAAAGTAATTGCTTAAGTTTTGTTTTGAATTGGTTTAGAGAATAATTAGTTTTCATTTCATTATTTAATATTATGTTCCACAACTTTGGTCCTCGGTTTACAATAGAATACAATAGTAAATAATAATTAAAATATAATTGAAGTAAGATTCTTTTAGAAACTGCTTTAAATTTTTCTAAAGAGTAGTGTTCTTTATTAAAGTTTTTAATAAAATTTTTCCATAAAAAAAGATGCTCAATATTGAATTCGATAAGAACTTATTTTTAAATTAATTCTCGGAACAATAAAGTTATCCTCTGAAAACTTTGTTGGATACTTATGAGATATTTCGCTAAAATAAGATTGAAATATAAGTGGAGATATTCCATGTTTCATTTTAAACATAAAAAGTAATGTTTGGTAAATGTTTAGTTTATAAATGTTTAAGGCCTTGAGACGATTTAATAGCGGTTCGCAATAAACAGTTCTGTTTGCCCCAAATACAATCCTACAAGATGCTTTTGTTTATTATAAAGATTTTTAAGTTTTCCGTAATTCGTACTTTTGCGTTTAAAAATGGTTTTGTTTTATAAAGTACGGAAATATTATTAGAGACTTTACTTTCAATAGATTGGATGTGAAACTTCCATGATAAGGTTTCATCAAGAATTATGCCTAAAAAGTTAACAGTAGATTCCCTTTTTACATCTGTTTTATCGAATAAAAGATTTGGCAGTTAAAGTGGGATATTATCAATTTTATTTGGTTTGTGGAACAGGATGAATTTAGTTTTATCTACATTTAGTGAAAGGTGGTTACTTCATTTACTTTAGATAATTCTTCATTGAAAATTTTAAAAAGAACTTTTATATCTCTGTGTGAATAAAACAGATTGGAGTCGTCAGCAAACAATATAAGATATAGTTTTTTAGATGCTAAAAACAAGTCATTTATATACACTAGAAATAATAATGGTCCTAAGATAGATCCTTGAAAAACCCCGCAACTTATAAGTTTTTTTTTGGTTTCATTTGTTTCATAGGTTATGCATTGTTTTCTGTTAGTCAAGTAGTTTTTAAACCAAAGTAAGTTTAAGTTGTTTACTCCATAAAGTTCTAATTTTTTTTATAAGGATTTCATGATTGACAGTGTCAAATGCTTTAGATAAATCAATGAAAACTCCTATGGTAAAATAATCTTTATCAAAAGCATCCGATATATGGTTTACAAGCTCAATTACCGCGTGATCCGTAGAATGATTTTTTTTAAACCCAAATTGTTTGTTGTACAGAATATTATTTGATACTAAATGATTATAAAGCCTATTGTACATAATGCGTTCTAGCAATTTAGAGAAACAAGGTAATACAGAAATAGGTCTGTAGTTTGAAACATTTGTTTTTTCACCTGACTTAAAAATCGGTGTGATTTTGGCTATTTTAAGTTTGTCTGGTACAGTACCAGACGTTAATGAGAGATTAAAAATGTGAAACAATAAGGGTTCAATAATATCAAAGACTGATTTAACTACATTGACGCTAATTTTATCTATGCCTGCACTTTTGTTATTTTTCAGAGAGGAAAAAGCATTATGCAACTCACTTATATTTAAATTTAGCTCTGTCATAATATTATTTGCTGTTTTGAGGTAAGTTTCAAATTTTATGGTACTAGATGGAATTTTTGCCGCTAGATTTGGACCAATCTCAAGAAAAAAACTGTTTAGCTTGTCAGCTATGGTTTCTTTATCATAAATAACTTTTTCATCAATTAACAGTTTTTGTGGCAAATTGTTTTTAATCGAAATATTTTTGCGAATTATTTCTTTTATTACATTCCAAGTTTTTTTTGTATTTCCATTACTTTTTTCCAATAGCTTTTCATAATAAGATTTTTTTGAAAACCTTTTGGTTTTTTCAAACAAATTTTTGTAGTTTTTGTATATTATTTCATTATGATATGTTTTATGTCGTAGATATTTTTCATATAGTTTTTGTTTTTTCTTTGAAGATTTGATTAAACCTTTTTGTCATCCAC